GTTTGTCAAACGAAGTGAACTCAAATTAATCTAACCAACAAGTTTGTCTGGAAGTGCTTGCAGAGCAACATGTACACAGGGAGAAAAACAAATCTGTTATTTTCTGTCTGTGTGTCTGAGTAAAAGATGACGTGGTGACAGTGGTGGTGACTCCATTTCCATTTCCTCCATGCAGTACAAGTCACCGTGTTGGCATTAATTATGAAAAATTGTTTGGTGTGCCGAGTCTGAGATTGCATGCACTTGAGAGAGTTATGATGAATGATGTTAAGAGGACTCTGTCAGCTGCCATCCCGTTTGGTCTCCACAAATAATTGAAGGCTAGTGTACTTTCTGACAGAAACATGGTTTATGAGCTCAGCGCCAGTGTAGCGGTTCAGACCGCAGCCTTTGGGAGCAGCGCCGCCTCCTTTTCTTCTCCTCAGTGGAGAGTCTTACAGCGCTTCCAGCTCAGTGTGCTTTCAGCTTCTCTTAACAATGGTACATGTCATCAGTTTGAGACGTTCAACACGTCTCAGGAGTGTGATGCAGTTTTGTCCCGTAGTTTTTTGCTGACCTCAACCTGTCTCATCTGCTTCTACAGCAGTTAGTCACTGCATCCATATAACATAGAAAGCACAATGTTACTCTGCAGTTTTACAGTATGCAGTCACTCATATGCTTTAAAGTCAAGGGTCTGAAGTGAAGCGTGGCAGAAATGCATTAAACCTGCTTTCTGTCTACTGGCCAGCAGGTGGCGACTTCATTGGTCTTGAAAAAAAGTGATTTTATAGAAGTCAATGAGAAAATGACCCTACTTCTCACTTGATTATTACCTCAACAAGTTTGTGGTCTTAATTACTTGTTCCGAGTCTTCTTAAATACAGACTGATGTTCATTTTGCAAATGAAGGTCCTATGTAGAGTAAAATAGACAATAAAAAAGAGTTTGCTTTAGGGCATGGCTATCTTGTGATTGACAAGTCTCTACCATGGCACATGCTGTTCTCATGCACTGTTTGTACGTATACCTACGAAGGTAATGTGCTAGAATTTGTATATATCCCTCTTAATTATGAGCCAGTAATTTGTGTGTATGTATTTCGGGAGGCTGCAAACACGTGACCAATGCACTGACGGAAGTAAAGAAGGAAGTAGTTCGCATTAGCAGGCAGGTTGGGGTGGTGGATGGGTCACAAAACACAGGACTTTCCCCCAGGAGTCAGGTGTTTTGAATTATGTGAAACCAGCGTTGGGGATGTGTCATTCAATTACAAAATAAACGTAATTGTAACCAGTTACAGTTACTGAGAAAGAACATGTCACTGAATTAATGTTACTAATCTAAATGTTGGTGATTACAAAGGGGTTTGATCCAAGAATGTTTTTTTCAGTAGAATCTTTTTATGAGGAAAAAGCATCTTTTTGCCATGCAGGAATACCTCTTTTTGTCATATTTCTGGACAATGTGGCTCAGCAGAACTGATGGGATAAATTTGAGTACAACATTTATACACTTATGCAATTAGGACTTTTAGCTTTATTACCCAGTTTAAAACATTTGTCAGAAAAGTAATTGCAAAATAATCAAATGTAATAAGTTACATTACTTTGATGAAGCATTTAAAATAGCTACGTACATTTTTAACAGGGTAACTTTTAATCTAGTACCCTAGTACTAGTAGTCTGGGGCAGCTGTGGCCCAGAAGTAGAGCAGGTCGTTTACTAATCGGAAAATCAGTGGTTTGATCCCTGGCTCCTCCAGTCCGCATATCGAAGTATCCTTGTGCAAGATAATGAACACCGAGTTGTTCCAGATGGCTCTTCTATTGGTGTGTGAGAGCGTGTGAATGGTTACTGAGTAGCAGGTGGCACCTTGTATGGTAGCCTCGGCCACCTGTGTATGAATGTGTGTGTGTGAATAGGTGAATGTGACTCAGTAGTGTAAAAAGCGCCTTGAGTGGTCGGAAGACTGGGCGCTATACAAGTGCAGTCCATTTGCCATTTATTCTGTAACCTATTGAATTTCAAAAGTAACTTTCCCAGTGCTGGTCGTCACCATGTTTCTTTTCCTAAACCTAAACTACTTTACTTTACTTCCCTAAACCTAAAGACACCCAACCAATTTCTTTTCTAAACCCTAATCAAAGTAACTGTACCTCTGTAACTTTACATATGATAACTGTGGTTACTGTACAACTATGTAACTTAACATAAAGCATAAAACGTCATTCATGGCGTGCTAATTCATTAGATATCTTATGAACCATTGCGTGTGCATTTTTGTAAGATATCCTATGAAGCGCTGTATGAGGATATGTTGCATGGCACTGTCCTAAGGGTTCTCAGTCAGATCCACCCCTCGCTCCTCCATAGCTTCATCCTCTCGTCCAAATATGGTTTCTACTGCCTCCAAAAAACCAAGATGGTGATGGCCAAAGGCTTGAAAACCATAGTCCACAAACCAGAGGATGATGACACAGTCTCTACGTTTACTCCTTTTACACAATCTGTTTTTAAAATACAAACATGCACAATAACAGTGATCCATTTTTGTGTGCGCTTATATTGGACACCATCATCCCATCATCATCACCATCATCCTCCAAAGTTGTCCTATTTGTAATAGCCACCAGGGCACAGATGTGAACAGGTTTTCTCAGTAGTTATCTCGCATCAATCCAACACAGCCTATGTGCAGCCATGTGGAGTGAGAATCTCTGTGGTGAGGAGGCCAGATCTCATTAGGCTCACTGGGCTCTAATTAAATCTGGACTTTACTGACACATTGCACGATGATGGACTGACAGACTTCATCTATCACATCACATGTACAGGACAAACTGCTCACATGAAAACATGTCACACACACACAAACACACACACACACACACACACACACGCACACACCAGCCCATTTAGACATCAAACAGCAGGAATCATAAGTGACAGGCTGAGAAATTAGCTCTGTGTACTCATGCAGAGAAGTGTGAAAGTGTGTGTGTATGTGTGTGTGTGTCAGCCTCCATACACATCTACCCATTGTGCTACTTCCTTAATTCCTTCCTTTCTCGTTTTTTTTCCTACTTCCTCCTTTCTTACCTTCTCCATTCAACCCGCCGTGTTTATCTCACCTTCCCTCTCTCTCCCTGCCACAACAATCAAGGGTTTGGCATGTTTTTATCAGCTGTAATAGATTTCATTTCACCAAGACAAGCCTCAGCCTGCAGATTAAAACCCCTGAACAACTGAGCCCCTCGCCACTAAATCACTTATACTGCTGCTCTGCCATAATGCTGCATGCATGTGTTTGTGTGTATTTGAGTGTGGAGGAGATAGAGAGACATTGCTTAAGAGTTTGAGACATCGACCATTCCGTATTTAATACTATCATTCTCAGTTTATGTCCTCTCTATCTGACAGCAGTGACCCGACAGTGATCTCACATACGAGTTTCACTGTTTCACTGATTATTTACAGGAAACCTAGGAAGACTCAAACTTCATCAACAGAAATTCACGGAAGAGGACACGACATACATTTATTAAATATAGTGACTGCTTTGCTTGATAACAGCAGGTGAATGCAACACCTTTACGATCTAATGTGATCCAGCAGCCCCACAGTAAATATGTTTATGTCATTGCTTTGTTGTGGCTGTGTCAGAGAACAGTTGATTCAACTCTGTCTCATTTTCAGCTGTGACCAGCAGCTCTATAGCTTGCTGTGTTGGCCGGTTGGTGGCTGCAGTTTTTTTCTGTAGGAGGCTAAAATTTGGCATGGAGCTCAAGTGTGTGTGTTTGAAGGTTTGTGAAGTTGTTAATGCCAACTGGCTAATAGAGGCGACATGTGGATACATGCACATATGTGATTTCAGATATGCTTGAAGCGCTGTTGTGGTGGTGAATGAAGTTGTTCATGGTTGCATTGCACTGCAGGAACAGGAGTTGCTATTATTTTGTCCAGGCTATGTAATGCAACAACAGTTTGTGGGTTCATGTGTATGCCTTGTGGACATTTTGTAATGAAAACAACTATTTATTTATTTATTTATTTATTTATTTATTTATTTATTCAGCCATTCATTCTCAGGGACGATGCACATTCATCATGAATATATATGTGCCAGTGTTAGCCCAAAGGCTAAATTTCAACTGCTCTCCCTTTGCCAGATGTTAAATTAGCCACTAACACAACAATAAAAGAGAAGAACTATCTTATCTTACTTCCCCTTTTCCTTCTTTCCTCCCTTTCTCCAGTCATTATCTAGCCATTACCATCATCCAAGGCATTATCTAGTGCCAGTGCTGTCTGTTGGTGTGTCTGTGAGAGATATTTTTCTGTTCTCTCGGTGCCACCTTGTGGAGAGAAATTAAACTGCTATACCTTCCCTTTTCTTTTAATTCCTCTTTCATCAGAGATGTTCATAGAGTGTGGCCATCCAGCGGTGTGACCTCTCACCCTTGACCTCTGATTTGACGTCTCTACACCCTTACGACCTTCAAACACTCTTCTGATGTAAGTCTATCTATCTATCTATCTATCTATCTATCTATCTATCTATCTATCTATCT